CTTCCACCTCTCTGTTCATCCATCCATCCACCCATCTATCCATTCATTTATCCATTCATCCATCCACCCATCTATCCATCCATCTACCCACTCATCTATCTATGCATCCATGGATTCACAATCCAACCATCCACTCATCCATCCCATCCATCCACCCATTCATCCATCTACCCACTCATCTATCTCTTCCTCCATGGTTTCACAATCCATTCATCCACTCATCCATCTGTCCATCCATCCACCCACCCATCCATCTACCCACTCATCAATCTATTCATCCATAGATTCACAATCCATTCACCCACTCATCCATCTATCCATCCATCCACCGACGCCCTGATCCATTTACCCATCCATCCATTTATTGAACAAACATTTGAACCACCCAACTCTGTGCTAGAACTCCATAAGGCTATCAATAGGTTTTCATCAAGTGACTGGACGAAAGTAATTCATGCTGAAGGGAGGGAAGTCTGGAACCACCGGGAAGAGCAGGAAGGCAAGAAAGCAGCTGATGGGTGCTGAGAACCAGGAGCTTCTGCTGGAACAGAAACCTGGAAGTGAGGAGGCTTGGGCGAGGGATCTGGGGAGGGTGGAAGAGACCAGAGCACAGAAGACCTTGGACACCTTGAGCTTGGCTGTTGTCTGCAAATGATGGAAACCACAGGGAAGAGATTTGCATTTTTAGGAAGCTTACTGGACACCAGGACAGGCAATGGACCAGTTGAGACCGCACTGAATGAGGAGACATCCGGCATAAGATGACAAAAGTTTAATTTGGAGATTCTCTTTCTCTCCTGACCCCGTCCCCCTCCTCCCTTCCCACCACCTGGCTCCTGAGGAAAGCGAGGAGCCCTGTGTAGGAGACCTGCAGAACTACTGTTTAGAAATTCTCTCTCAACATGTACCCTATGGAAGCCCTGGGACAAAGCTGGAGTCACCTTCCTCTGGTGAGCCATACCTGGAGCCGGTGGTCACCCTGTCCCTGTGTATCACTGGACTTCTCATTAAATGTGAAAAAAAAAAAAAGTGATTCTCATTTTGCTTAAATTCCTAAAACTAAGCCAAGTGGTCCATGCCAGTCACCCAAGAAAATTGACTTAAATCTCTCGTCTCTGCATGACTCTTGGGCAAAAGAAAATGTATTTTTGAGAACTCAGAACAAAGGGGTTTTTCTGGGAAGTGATGTCGGCTGCATGGTATCAGAGATGCACAGCCAAGATGGTTTTTAAAAAGCTATGTGCACTTACCTTGATTTTCTTTAATATTGGATGATACCATGTTTTAGGGGCCAATTAATGGGTAACATTTCTCAGCATCGGACTGTTTCCAAGACAGGTTTGACAAAGAGATTCTCAAACTTTTCCTCACCACAAAACTCATTATTACTCTTACTATATTAAAGATGCTTATATGTGAGTATTTCGCTGTCAGAGTTGGAAAAGTGGAAATCCCGAACAAAACATTTAATGTGAAAAAGTCTCCCAGCTCCCTCTGATATGCTGTGCTCATAAGGACATGTCACCTCAGTGCTCTTCTTGCCAAAAATGCACCACCTCAATCGAATCATGAGGAAACATCAGCCATTCTACAGAATGTTTGACCAGTACTTTCTAAAATTGTCAAGGCGACAAACGAAAAGAGTAGACACAGGGACCGTTATAGACAGGAAGGGATTGAGAAGACATAACGGCTAAGTGCAACGTGGCATTCACAGGCAAACTGGTGAAATCTGAGTGATGTCTGGCGCTGGAGTCAACAGCACTGCACCAATGTTAACTCCGCCATTTTGTACTCGTACCACCCGTAGGTGAGACGTTAATGATGGTGGGAGCTCTCTGGAGGATCTTTATAACAGCTGTATAAGTCTAATTTCAAACTCTTCATGGGGTCTCATTTTAAAAATCGATAAATAAATAATCTACCAGGCTTTGGGCAGAGTCAACTTACTGTTGCTTTGTTCTTCCACGTATGATTTCTAGGTTCTCAAAAGCATGGAGGTCGGTCCGGTTTTCGGGCCAGGCCTGAATCAGCAGAAACCCTAGAAAGGCAAAAGGAAGGCTCAGGCCCCCACCACTTGTCTTTTTTATGAGACATTCTAGGAGTCTCGAGAGACCATAATATGAGCAGGAGAGGTGAACACTGGATTTCTTTTCTTTATCTTCACCGAGTACATACCCATACATATCTACCCTTGGGTAGATACAAGCCAAGGCACAATTTTACAGTGGGCATCTGCCTCTCCTATAGAATTCCCATCCCTTGCCGCATCTCTCCTGCCACCCATCTCCCGCCACCCCCCAGGCTGTCCCATGGTGCCATGGCCCTGACGGCCGGGCTGGGCTCCATATCTGGTAACCCAAACCTGCCTCTGCTCTTGATGACAGCTGCCATGTTCTGAGCTGTTATCACACAAAAGCAGAGTCACATAATTTCCTTACTTAATTCCAGTCCTCAAAACAGTCGTGTTATTTAGGTTAGTTAGGTCTAATTACTCCCTTTTCAGGGATGAAGGCAGGGACGTGAGGTCAGTCTGTGGGCTTGAGAGCCTGTGCTGTTCCCTCAACATTCTGTCCTTCTTTTTCCTCCACCCTCAAAAGTCACTGGGCCATCAGGACAGCTGGCCAGGGCCGAGGAGACAAGTGTTAAACATGTTCACACAAAATCAGGGATGAGTCAAGTCTTTGATTAAAGTGTTCACCCCTCACATGCAGGGGACACTGCAATCGCGAAAACTATCAAAGAACTCACTAGTTAGTCATGGATGGTAGAAGTTCAGAAGAAATGTTTTTATGATGCTGAGAGAGAAGCAAATGCAGCTACCAGTTCTCTCTCTAGAACACCCATTACCCATTCATGTTCATGGGATATGTTAGCGGCACACACCTGTTATTTCCTTTACAGTTTTTAGAATATCCAGTTCCTTTGGATCGAGAGGTAGAGTACGCGTGAAGGAGTCACTGAAACAAGTAACAAAATGATTATTGATTAACAATGTCTACCCGTGAACAAAGTGGATTTTGTGTTTCTCTATTCCAGTAACTTAATCTGTTACTTACCCTCTAAATGCTACGGGCAGGATATGAAGATCTCCACTGATTGAGGTGCAATTTTTGAAGTGTTTAATGTTTGTAGCATTTATGGAAAGTGTGTCTTTAAATTCACCAATTCCTATTCCATTACACACTGTAAAGTTAAAGGAGACGTTTATTCCCTTCACATATGCTGAATTCAGAATAGCTAGGGCTCCCCAAACAGAGGAGAGCGGGAAGAGAATTGTAGCCAAGAGATCATCCCCGCCATGCCATCGTTCATTCATTCAACAGTAATGGAGGCCTGCTGGGTATCAGTCACACTATGGTGGGCCTTGGGGTTAGGGTGGTTGGAGAAGGGGATGGTGTCCTCATGGTGGTTGCTGCCCTCAACTGGACTTGTATTCTCCTCCTCATGACTTCCCACTTGGACTTAGCCTCATTGCTCTTAAGCATCCCTCCTTGGCAGTGGGATCCACCTGCTGACGCCAGGGCCGCCTCTGCCCGGCTCTCATCAGGGCATTCCCCTGGCTAAAACTTGACACCTCTCGATTGTCCTAACCTGGTTGCAGTTTTCTTGTCTATTTTAAAGAAAGAATGTACCTAGCTTGTTTTTATTAAAGAGTAAGATGTGTTCATCTGACAATGGTGAAAAGTAGAATAAAGGGACCAAAATGACCAGAGTTTCCACTATAGGATATTTTGAGAAGTGTTCCTTTCAGCTATCCTCCATGGTTATGTTACCCCAGGTATGTATTTTTTTTTTAAGATTTTATTTATTTATTTGACAGAGAGAGACAGCGAAAGAGAGAACACAAGCAGGGGGAGTGGCAGAGGGAAGAGCAGGCTCCCCGCTGAGCAGGGAGCCCGATGCGGGGCTCGATCCCAGGACCCCGGGATCCTGACCTGAGCCGAAGGCAGACGCCTAACGACTGAGCCACCCAGTATTTTTTTTTTTTTTTTACTTATTCTGCTATGAACATTCCTCATATTATTAAAACTATTCACGAACATGATTTTTCATGGCTGTCTTATATTACATCATAGGGAATACTGTAATAACTTTTATCAGATAAACTGCTTTTCTTCCCCTGTGTTTACTTGAACCAAATGCTTTGATCTGTGTCCTATTGCTACATCAGTCTCAAATGCCCTTTTCCACAGTCTGAGCCCCTTTATTAATTTATATCCACTCCTAAATTTCCATCTCAAATGCCATCTCCACCCTAAAGCCCATTTATCTGTTGTAATTCTCCCTCTAGAATTTGCAGAGCAATTTTGGTACCTATCTTCCAGACTTTATCTTGACTTTGAAGTATAATCACTGAAAATCTCATTGCTCAGGATAAGGTCCTATCCTTCCCCCCCCCCCCCCCGGGTTCTAGCAGATGCAGTCAAGCCCTGCTGCCCCCCCCCCCCCCTGTGCTCCGCTCCACTGGGAGTCCCTTGTTGCTTCCAAGGAAACCTTCCATTGCTGACTCCAGTGGCCACGACTGTCCCACCAGCCACTACTGGGTCTCCGGGCTCACCCTGGGGGCCAGCCTCCTCTCTGGTTCGAGGAGCTGCTCTAAGGAGTCCTATGCTGAAGGGCTCACTCAACCTTCCTGTGCTGCATCTAACACACTATGGGTTGTGGGGCTCATGGCCAGGCTTCTTTAGGATCCACGGGAGCTGGCTGACAATGGAGAATGAGGTGGTCATATGAGGACTTGCCATTTAATTACAGGTCTGGCAGAGAATTCCATGTGCTTGAGAGAATGTTCATGCTCTCTCTCTGCTTGTGTGTAACAGTGATGGTGGGGTTACTTTAACTCCTAAATTCAGAGACCAATTATGTATTCACCCCTAGACATTCCTGGCACCTCCTTCCTTACCCAGTGGTACTGCCCTATGCCCGAAGCGATCTGAATTAGAGGATGTATAGAAAAATAGGGCATAATAATTACAGGAAAATCACACTGTTTGTTGAACACAAAATTAACAAAATAAAACCCAAACCATCTCTGATTCTATCAATCCATTTGAGGACGCTGACAGTAACCCTCTTCTCTTACTTGCCCTGTGCCAGGCACCACCCCACATTCTCATTTTCCTCCTTCCATGTCTGCTCTGCTGGACAGTTTCCTGAAGCCAAAGGATATTCATCCATCAGGGCACTGACCCGCCTGCCCCACAGGAGTTATAAGACCAGGAAGACACGGACTTGGCTGACAAGCTCATGGGTCTGGCTTGGGACCAAGACTGAATGAACTTCAAATCTTGACTGCCATTCTTAGCTGTTGAAACGCAGAAAAGTCATTTAGATTCACTGTTCCTCAGTGTCCTCATCTGGAGAATGGGGATCGTAATAACACAGAGGTCCCAGGGGCGTTGGGAGGATTCCATGACACGGAACAGGGCAGCTGAGTCTGCCCCGTGGAGAACATTTATGAAATGTGTGTGGGAGCAAAAAGGGGAGCAATCAGTGTGGACTGAAAAGACAGATGGCTTCACAGGGAAGGTGAAACCTGAGGTGGATATGCAAGGTAAGCAGCTATGCGCTCAGGTGTTGTTTATAATAGCAGAACAGTGTCACAATCTAAATGGCCACGTAAAGGGAGATCCATTGAATAAATTATGGTACGGCCACAGAAGGGAGCCTATGTAGCTGCACCACAGAATGAAGAAGATTCATATGAACTTATCTGGAGTGATTTCCAGGATATATTAAGGTTAAGCAGCAAAGAACAAAGAGTGTAGATAGTACCTTTTGAGTAGAAGACACGACCGGGACGTGGGATGTGCTGAAGGGACACAGGAGCCATCTGGAGAGGCTCCTACTGGCCACATGTGGGGCAATTTAAGTACCCGAATGAACGACAGGAATGGATTGTAAGAAACTGAATAAAGAAGGATTCCATGACCTCACATAGGAACTGATTTTTTTTTTTTAAATAGAGAATGCCAACTAATAAATGGGATGATAGAAATAGAAAATCACTCTTTTATACCCACCAAGATTATCTTATCTAACTTACCATCAGTAATGAAATAACATGGCATCATATGTCACCTGATTTAATACAATGAGAGGAAATCAACATGACCTATGCAATGCTCCTGCCCAAACACCCAACCTGAATGCGGCCATGAGGAAAAACAGTCAATGAGGCCAAGCTGAGGGACATTGTGCAAAACACCTGGGCTAGACTCTTCACATCTGGTCATGGAAGAGAGAAGAAAAGCAAGTAGGGGAGGGGAGCTGAGACACAGTTGTTGATTAATGAAGATTAATGGGGGCAGGACATCTACCCGAAACCCATGATTGTTGACTGGGTTCTGGACTGAGAAGCAGCTAAAAATGACTTAAGTGGGACAGGGAGCGGGGGAGGTCTGAGTCAAGGGATACTAGAAAAGACTATTGAGTTGATGTTAAATAATCCTGAGTGTGACCCCGTCTTCCATTACTGAGGAGAATGTCACCATTTGTGAGAAACATGCTGACAAATGTAGGGGTGAAGTGTTAACGATACCTGTAACTGTCTTCTGGTTCAGAAAAAACCTTCACCCGTGCACGCACACATCCACATAGGCACACGCACATAAACACAGTGAAAGCAATGCGGCAAGATATTAAAAAGTGGTGAATTTATGTGAAAGGCATCCGGGTGTTCACTGCCCTACTCTTGCAACATTTCTGGGTGTCTAGAAATTTTTATAAAAAAGATAAAGTAAAAGGCATATTAGTGAGCGGGAGAAGAGTGGCACTGAGGAGCCTCCAAGAATGGGGCACCGTAGGAAGGAAGGAAGGAATTTCTGAGCCTGAAGGAAGAGATTTGCTCAGATGTCTTCCAAGTAGGATGCCGAGGGGGCCTGGTGGACGTGGGGCGAGTCAACCCCGGCTTCGTGAGCAGACGGAAAGCCTCGTCCCCGCACGCTGCAGGCTTCCTACCTTTTCGGCAAGGCCCCTCACACTTTTTACACTTGCGGACGCCGTCTTCCTCTACCTCGTAGTTGTCGGAACTGCAGGCACGGACGCACGAACCATGGTCTGTCACCACGTAGTTACCTGGAGGGACGAGGAGGAAAGGTGGCGAAAGCCGCACCAGGTGTCTCAGGGCCTCACACAATTGTCTCACGGCCTCCTATAAAGGGGCCGATGAAAAGGGCCTATCAGCCTCTGGTTTTATTTACTTTAAGGACAAAGAATGAAAGGTTGCAAACAGAAAAGGAATCAAGTTCAAGAGTTTTAATAGCTGATCCCAAACTGGCAGGAAACAGATGTGGCAGCGAGAACATGGGGCCTGCTCGCAGGTTTAGAACATCTCTTCGCAGCTCATTTTTCTGTCGGTTCAACCTTCAGGACCTGTGGTTAAAGACTGAATACTTACTAAAAATAAGTGACCCTGAACAAAGCCCACCGTTCCATGGAAGCTTCCACATCTGAGGATGCATGTAATTCTCGTGGCCAACGGGCTGCCTTCCGTGGTCCTGTCCAGCCTGACAGGACCTGGCTGGGGGGCTGGCACCACCAGCTGGTTCTGCATCGAACCAGGCAGATGGGTCATCTTGGGAGCCTCCCCTCACTTTAGAGTAATTTATTTGTGTTAACATTTAACACAGATATCAGTATGTTTCTGGAGCCCTATGTGTTCCTGTCTTGAATTGCCCAAGTACACCCTCAAACATATTTACTGGATAGTTGTAATTGTCCTTTCTGTAAATTGTCTGCTTTTGTTCTCAGGCTCCGGTTTCCTGTGGATTTCTAAACTCTACCTATTAAGCCCTCTCTCAAAGATTATACCCGTGTCAGAATTGTGACAAATTAAAAAAATTTTAGTAAGTTAGTTCCATACAATGGTATATTATTCTATTTATGTGTTATTTTCTTCTGTTAGAATTTAAAAGTTTTCCTGTCCACAAATCTGGTAGGGCAAATCTCCTGCTCACAGCTGTGCTTACAATTTTTTTCTCTTACTCTCCCTTCCTAGAAATCAAGATTGGTTTCTAAAGCTCTTTAATTAGACAATGCTACACTCTCTCTACGAGGACATAATTCATATCATCATTTTCCTGAACATGATAGCCACCTGTTGAATGCAAATACAAATAAGCAAAACCCAACCTGAAACAATTAAAACAAAACCAAACAACACACAAAGAGACCCCTCTGAAGTTTTTGTTCCCTTAAGAGGCGCAGTTTTCACCAGAATTTTAACCACTAAAGCAGGCACGTCTTCCGACACACTCTCTAATTTAGGTCTTTTCGATAGCTGCTGGGCAAAAAAGGCTAAACGGTGAAGTGGCCCAAACTGACAACTGAATATTCTGGACTACTACAGCTGGACCTCGGTCCCAGGGTGTGTTTCCTGTCCTGGCCACCACGGACTCGAGAAGAGACGCCGGTGAACAGAGCACCAGACATCGCCTGTCACCTATGGCAGTGGCCTGACCCCTCACCTGTGCACTCGGACAGGCCCGCGGTCACCTGCCTGACAGTGAGGCAAACATACGGACCCAAAGACTCCCCGAGACAGGGGACTCAAGGATCCCAGTAGGAGACAAAGAGGAAATCGATTGCCAGGTAAATGAAAGGTTTTCGCATGGGATGAACTCACGGGGGCATTTCTTCACGCAAGTGGCACCAAAGCTGTACTTTCCTTCTGGGTTGACATCCATCTGGTAGGTGGTGGGGTTGTAGAGCATGAGTGGCGGGCAGGTGTCCTTGCATGTGGCTTCATCCCGGAACTTGCGGCAGACCTGTCACAGGAGGGACGACATGCACTGGTCAAGCTGGGCAAGGATGCTCAGGATTGTTTCAACTCTGTGCAGAAAGCTCAGGTTAGTGTTCTTAATGTCCAGGAATTTGATTAAAGCAAAAACAAGCCACCCCTCCAAAAAAACTAGCCAAGTACTTTCAGAAGATTCAGAAAGACCTTAAAAGTATGATTTTTCGGGTACTGTCCTAGCTGTGATAATTTAGGGATTATGATGATAAAAACCCACATCTTTATTAACTTGTAAAATGATGAAGGAGTTCACATACTGGAGTGGTCCCTATGGCATGAAATTATTTCTCAACTCAATTTCCTAGCTTTCTCTTATAAAGAAAACTTGAGGATATGTTTTAGAATTTACCGTCAAACTGCAGAAAACCCTGATGAGGAAGGCTATGGTGCACAGGGGACCAGACCACATACAGTGGTGGCCCGAAGACCCACAGGCCGTCTCCCCTCCAGCGACACATTAGCATCAGCCCAGACCAACCACGTCACAATCCCTGGGGCCAGATGCAGCCTCTGGAATTAAAAAAATCGCCCCCTCCCTGAAACCAGAGTCTTCTGGATTTCCCCTTCTCTGGAGCCTACGAGGGTCTCATCACACTTGGTGCTGCATCCAGGACTCATGTCTGCCAGCCCTGGTGTCTCTAGGATGCCCAAGGTGCGCGCAGTTGAGGTGCCACCTACATGTGGTGCCCACCGCCCACCGGGGTGAGAAGGCTTTTGTTAGGGCTTTCTGCAGTAACAGGGACAAGAGTGAGTGCTTCAGGACCTTCAGGAGGCCCTGAGCTGTGGTGGAAAGAGCAGAGGGCCTGGGTCCAAGGGTCCACGTGCAGCTCCAGCCGTGCACTCAAGTCTGTGTGGCTCTGGGTATGTCCCTTACCATCTCTGTATATTTATGTTAGGGCCCTTCTGGTATCAACTCGGTGGGTCTCAACTGAAATGGAGCAATGGAGAGTGTGACAACAGTATTGCTGGCCACCAAAAACGCTAATGACAGACACCTCGTATTTAGTACTGCCGCTCATCCTACGCCCAGGTCCTGGGCATGGATGCCACGGGCACTGTGTCATCCGGACCTCAGAACAGGCGGTGTTTACTGCCCACCATTGAGTCGAGGAAACCGAGGCACAGAGGGGTCATAGAATTTGCTCGAAGTCACAAAGTCAGTGGCGAAGGCGGGACATTTAAAAGGTGCTTTGTCCCTTGGCAACGGGCAGCAACCATACGTGTGGTAATTTCTCCCACAGGAAGCCAGAGAAGGCCCCCCACCCCTGGGGGGGCAGTCGGCTGGGGGGCTGGGTCAGCCTTACCAGGCAGTCGCTCTCGCGGGGCCCCGTGCAGCCGGCGGCACACTGGTTGTGACAGCAGTCACTGGGGGACCTGCCACGGCAGCGCCCTGAACACTGCTGGGCACAGATGATTTTGGTCACTGAAAAGGAGCAAAGGATCCTGGTGAGCTGAAGAGCCAGGGAGGGTGGAAGGGCCATTCTGCAGGGGCCTCACAGAGCACTTGCACACAGTCGGTGAAAAGGCGAACAAAATGACAAATTTAGTGATTCCCTGGAGCGTTCAAGTTCCCAAACCTTCACACTCTGCCAAAGAACACTGAATAGTGACCTTTCTTTACAGCACCTCGTTTTTTTCCTACTGCTCTCTAGGACGCACCAGATTGAGTCTAGACTTCTCGACCGGCTCCATAATTACATGCTAGTTAGAACTGAGATTTAGGGTGATATGGGAAGCCCATCCAGGAACAAAAAGCGCCTGCCAGAAAGTCGTGTTTAAAAGGATGAAACAGTCACATCACAACGAAACCGAAGGACAGATGCTGAACTTTTAAGGCGGAGGTCCCCAGATTCCTTGGCCACCCATGCTCCGAAACTAGGATTCCTGCAGAAAAACCCTCCTGAAAAGCTCAGTTCCTGCTTCTGTGTAGATGAGCCCCCCAGGCAGAGAAAACGAGGGGTGTTTGTGACCCTCCGGTAACAACATGGGCGAGTCTTCTGTTCCCAGGAAAACAGGTCCAACACATGGCTCTAAGATACCAGCCTAGGCTGGTATCTGTGTGGCTGACTTTCACTCATTTATGACACGCTGAAGTGCCCCAAATAGCCCACACTGGATTAACCGTGTGCACGGAGATCTGCAACAATGTCACCCACATAACTGCCAACATCTGGCCTTTGGGAGTCTTCAAAAGGGAAAACACACACAGTCAGCTAAGTGGAAGGGGAGGAAAGCGGGCACACATTTATCTGAAATTCTGCTGGCTGACTTACATTTCTGGCAATTCTCCTTTCCCGGACCCCAACAACTTCCATCGGGACAGTCTGGATCACACTTTTGGCCTAAAATGTAAAAGTAATAGTTAAATTCCTATCTCAGAGGAAGAGAACTGGTGGCAAGAAACTGGCGACAAGCCCCTGAGCAAAGCGACGTTCTAGAAACAAGGAACAGCTTTCAAATTTCTAATTCTCCATTTGTCTGTTTGCTGGTTGGTTTGTAAGATGACTCAAAAGACTTTAAGAAAATAAATAAATAAAAGAGAGATGAACCACGTTCTGCTTTTATTTACATTTCAGCTGCAGAAACTGAGGCAGAGAGTAATTATTGACTCGTCACGGGTCAGGAAAACTGGGGTTCAAATGGTCCAGTTTCCACATGTGTTTAGGCTTGGAGAATTTTCCAGCATCTCCAACAGTGCTAAGGGAGTCTAATCTGCTGGGGTGGGTATGACCCACTACATTCTCACAACGCCAGTCTCGAGTGACCCGAGGGTCAGTGATCCTAGGAGACATGGGGTCCTGCAAATGAAGACTCCTAGACCTGAAGCCAGACAGAGGAACGGACTGCTCAAAGGGTCAAATGTTCACAGGGTGCATCACCTTGCTGATAGGCTAAACTTAAGCTATTGATTTGCGAGCTACTGTGTGGAAATAGTTGATGTCGATCTATTAGTTTTTGCGGTGATCAACTACAAAGCACAGCTACAAAGATTTTTTAATCTCATTAGTTGTTTCATTTTTATTAGCATTGAAACACCTGAAGACCAAAGCCTCCCATCTATATAAAGACAACAGGCCGACTATGAAAGTTTGTTTAAAAAAGATCAGCAGGGCAGCTGTCTTTCATTGCAAAGACATGAGACCTTACAGGAAGGAGTTCCTATGTGTCCCAAAGTCTCCTACAGTCAGGAAGAATTTAATTTCTGGTAGACTCTAGATTTCAAATGGAAGAGCTGAGGATTTCCCAAGTTACTGTGGAACCAGGACACCCCTTTCATTAGACTGACAATCCTTCCAATCACCCCAGGGGTGAAGGGCAGCAATGCAATACTGATGGTCCTAGGAATCATGAGAGATGGTGAGGCCAAACCCCAAATGCACAGTGTGGGCTGTGCATTGTGAAGAAGAGAGGGAGAGAGAGGGAGGGAGAGAGGGAGGGGGGAGGGGGAGGGGGAGAGAGGGGGAGAGAGAGAGAGAGAGAGAGAGAGAGAGAGAGAGAGAGAGATAGATGGGCAGGAACAGGAAGAACAAAAGCAGTACACAGAAGTGTTAAAAGTGCTTGTTTGTATGGTGATATGTTATTTTTACTGTTTACCTTATTCTTCCTATTTCTCAAATCCCTATTATAAGCATGTAATAGGTTTGCAAAACAAAAATATTTAAAATGAAATGAAAATGCTTAATGGCATCTTCCTGTAGTGGAGAAAACATCTGAATGTTTTCTGAATGCCAACCAATGGATCAAGGTTTCCTTATAATTCTATTATTAACCAAAGGAAATGCAGGCAAATTATATAAAACTTGGATAATAGAAAAAAGCAAAAGGAGGAAATGAGAATCATCCAGATGTAATCAATATATACATGTAAGTATATGCCTATATAAGTATTGATGTCACACTAGACTTTGAGTCATAACTTGAAAAAAGCTAATAAAACATTATGGCAATTTTTCCATGCCTTTAAATATCCTTTTACATAACATGATTTTTTTTAAAAAAAAAGATTTGATTTATTAATTTGAGAGAGAGTGAGAGCATGAGCAGGGGGAGGGGCAGAGGGAGAGGGAGAAGCAGACACCCCACTGAGCAGGGAGCCTGACATGGGGCTCAATCCCAGGACCTGAGCCCAAGGCAGATGCTTAACCGACTGAGCCACCCAGGCGCCCCCATAACATGATTTTCAATGGCATGGCTATACCATAATTTCTTTAACTAATCTCTTATTTTTAGATAGGTAAGTTGTTTCTAAAATTCATTATAGGTAAGGCTGCAAGGAATATTCTTGCATAAAAATATTTTTCTATATCCTTATACTTTTCACTGCCCTTATTTTTTTCTTAGGATTCCTAGACATGAGGAGTGCATACTTTAAAGCTTCAATACATATTGCTAAAATTCTATCCCTGACCATATTTTATTAGCTTATATGCCCTCAAGAAGAAGATGAGAATTTCTGCTTCTCCACACCTCTCCTGATCCAGGTATCTAAAAATCAGAAGGAATCCAAATCTTTTGCAAAGGCAAAAATTATGCTTCTTTATTTTATTTTGACCTTTTTAAAATTATAGTAAGAAATAACATTTTACTTTATTTCTTGGCCATCTTGTGTGTGTGGGGGGGGGTACAAACTGCTCATGTCTTTGGCACTTTTTTTTTTTATTGGGAGGTTCACCTTTTTCTTAGGATACCTAAGACTACTCTATACAGTCATATTATCAAGAACATTAACCCTTTTCAAGGCAAGCAGACGATGCACAATATTTTCCTGTTTGTTGTTAAGATTTCTTCCTATAGAAGTTTTCTTGTACAGTATCTGCCTGGGCTTTTCTTCAGCTTGATATTACAAATATGCATCTTTACATTTCCTTCTAGCACTTACATATACATTCAGTAACTTATTATATATAATATGATTTGTAATTTATATTGGTGTACAAAGTGGATGACATTTATTTTAATTTCCCCTTAGGTAAACCCACCCAATCTAACTTCAAATTCTGAACTACATCAACAAAAACATCATATGGGGGCACACTGGGTAACCTTTCTGAATCTCAAATCCATTGTCCATAAAATACTTAAATCACCTTATGAGATTTTCTTTTTGGATAAAAATTAAATGAAACAAGTTCTCAGAAGGCATGTGTGGCCTGAAAAGCTCTAGGCAAGGACGGGGTTTACCTTACCACAAGGAGAATGGCAGGTTCCTCACCTTGTCACTGGTCGGCTAATTAATGAGAATGCAGGTAGTCGGTGAATAGCGTTCTTTTTTAAAAAAAAATCCTGATAGTTCTGGCACTTTGATATTTTCCCTTAATAGTTCAATTATTCTGGAACAATTTACTGCATAATAACTTATTCTTCCCTCATTTGCTTGAAATGTCATTTCTTTATGGACGTTTAATTTAGCGAGGCTTATTCGTACTGAATTTCTCTTGTATGTCTGTGGCTTATTCCTACATGTCTATTCTTAATCCAGTACCCTATCAGTCTGCAGTTCATAGCTTTGTCATATTTGAATCTTGTTATTTGCAAGATCCTTCCTTCCCAACATTTTCTTTCAGGGTCTTTCCCATGGTCTTGGTGTGATGAGGATGGGTGTGCCATTTGAGCTGCTCGATCTAGTCGATGGCAAACCCATACTAGTCTCACAGCTTTCCTGTCAGTTTTTTTGTTGTTGTTATAAATGTGCACAATTTAACCTCCCCATTGTCCATCAGAGAGCTGAGGAAATGTTAACCTTGATGTCATGGATAATACAAAATTTTGCACTGTAGATTAAAGTTTTCAGTTTCTTGCCATGCTGAATATCTGTCGGAATAGTATATTTATAAAACAAAGGGGCTCAACACCCAAGTTCATATCAGCATTATTCGTCACTGTCAACAGGTGGGAGCAGCCCAAGAGCTCATCAACTGATGAACGGATAAACAAAACACGTGCACACAGATATCCCCACAATGGAATACTCCTCATCCATATAAAGGTAAGAAATTTTGATACGTGCTACAACACGGATGAAACCTGAGGACATGAGGTTAGGCGACAGAAGCCAGTCACAGAAAGACAAAGACTATGTGACTCCACTTATAAGAGGTCCCTAGAGCAGTCACACTCGTAGAGGCGGAAAGCAGCATGGTGGTTGCCAGGGGCTGGAGGAGGGGGAGTTCCTGTTTAACAGAGACAGTTTTGTAAGATGAAAAGAGTTCCAGAGATGGATGGTGGTGATGATTGTACCACAGTGTGAATGGACTTAATACTACCGAACCGTACCCTTAAAAATGGTTCAAATTTTATGTTAAGGGTATTGCAATACAATAAACAAACAGATAAATAAAATAAGATACAATGAAGTAACAATAAAGGGGATCTAGTCAATTTTGAAGATCTATGTGAGCTCCAAATTCAGCCCCACCCCACCCCAAAAACAACAAGCAAACAAACAAACAAACAAAACACAAAGAAACCCCAACACAAAAACATGCATCCACTGCACAGTTTAGGGAAACAGAGAAGCAGGAAATGGTGATGACTCCTTTTTAAAAGGACTGAAAGACCAGGGAGATCAGGAAGGGGGAAGCTAAGAGGAGCTTGGTAACTGTAAGCATGTGTCGTCAGAGTTTCCCACACAGCGCTGCCAAGGGGCCAAGTGGTGCAGGCCTGACCTACAGCCTGGCCCCTTGCCAGCTTCCCCCTGGCATGGGCCGCTTCGCAATGAATGGCAGGGACAAGGTCATGGGCACTAAAGGGAGTATGGACAAACACCCACCCTGTGCACTGCGCCCAACTTTGCCTGGGGCTCTAGGTAGGAGGCCAGAGGTTAGCTTATGTGCTTCCGGAGGGCCTGGCGTTGCTCTGTGGCTCAGCAGCCTGTCGGAAGCACACAAAAGTTTGGCTTGTCTCGTCTATGCAGCATGGGAGAGGCCCCCGGGCCAGGACTGATGGCTCTTCTCAATGGCCACCTGAGGGCTCAGAGGCCAGGGGTGGGGGGTGATCTGCCCGGTTAGCAGGCATGCTGACTGTCACCACAAGAAACAGACTTTCCCTCTGTCTCGAGTAAGTGCTTTTCTAGCGGGCAGATCAATTGTTTACTAGTTACTTTTGGTTTGGATTACTCTGCTTCTGTCACCCCCCTTCCACCCCAACATGCTACAACTCCGTCCCCACCCTAGGAGCTACAGGCAGAGGGGACATTTGTGGAACTTACAACTGCCCGCTTGGTTCTGGAAGTCCATCGACATATTGCTTACAAAATCGCTGTCAACGATATCCCGCCACTGGATGGTTTCCACGTTGCAGAGGACAGGGTTGTTGCTGAACCGCACAGCTCCTTGTAGGATTTCTGCATGTGAAAAGAACCTCAGTTTTCGAAAGGCCATGTCTTTAAACTTCCGCAAAGTACGTATGCATTTTTTTTAAAAAGATTTTGTTTATTTATTTGAGAGAGAGAAGGAGAGAGAGAGAGTGAGAGTGAGAGAGAGAGAGAGAGAGAGAGCAAGCATGAGAGGGGGGAGGGTCAGAGGGAGAAGCAGACTCCCCGCTGAGCAGGGAGCCCGATGTGGGACTCGATTCTGGGACCCCAGGATCGTGACCTGAGCCGAAGGCAGTCACTTAACCAACTGAGCCACCTAGGGGCCCAACGTATGCATTTCTTTACATTTGGAGTTCTGCTAAAACAAGGCCAGCGTGCGAACAAGACTTCCCATAGTGCTTTGCGGGGGGGGCAGGGGCAACTATCACAATTCAGAAGTAAGGGAAGGAAGGAAGTTGTATGATGGTGTGAAGGGGCAAAGGGGACAGAGGGGGGTGGCAGTCACCCACTGCGGGCTGGCTAGGCCAGGAGAAGGGGGCGATGCTGTGAGCTGCTTCTGGAGCTCCTCACTGGAAAAGGTAGCAGGGGAGTGAAGGGGGCTGAGAAGAATCTCTATGTACAATGAAGAGGTGGCGGACGCCAGGAATGCAAATGGCATGAAAGACTATGACTGTTTCCCAGGAAGAAATGATACGACTTGGAAAATCAGGAATGATTAAAAAAAAATGCAAGCGTGAGCAGAGGGAGAGTGTTGCATCTATGACAGTAGACAGAAATGGTTACTGAATGACTTCTATGCACAAAACGCTGCAGCTATGGGTCTGCAACGATGAAGTGGGTCCAGGAGCTGACAGGCAAGGGCCTTACAGAACACCTACAATCTGCAATCGTGAGAAGTAAAAAGACGGCAGCAAAGATGCTGGATGATTCGGGTGCCCCTGACTGGGTAGCTGAGAAGAGAAAGAGATCATCAGTCTGGAAGCAGTCATTCTTTTACTTTTACTCTCCATATTTAATGATTTTATTCTTCATGGTGGGCACTGAGTTAATTATTCATAACCGTACTTAATATTGAATAATTCACATCAAATTGTTATTTAATAACAATAAATATTCTGCACGCATACAACCCCATACCAACAACAGAAATAAAAGCAACTATAGGAATAACTCCTTAGTGCTTTTCCATAGTAATACCCTTGATTTTCTCAACATCCCTAGGAAGTGTGTTAACAATTGTTATGCACATTTTTAAAGAGGAGGAAGTTGAGACACAGAGAGAAGCCGCTCCAGGGGCATCTGGCTGGTGAGTGATGGAGCCAGGACTGGCACCCAGACAGTCTGGCTCCGGGGTCCACACTCTTAACCACATCTGCCTGTCACCATGAGATAGCATGAGGCCAGACAGGCAGATTGAGGCATGCTGAATGTACGTACCGTTTCGCAAAATGTGTAAATAGCACAAATTAGTATTAGCATAAATGCAGACCATGTGCGTGGGTGCTCTGAGCAGCTAAAGTGGTGGGTGGGAAGTCTTGGGGCAGTTTTATAGGATGGCCAAGCCCAGGAGCCCGACTAGAGGGCTGTGCCAGCCGCCTCTGAGCCGGGGTCTGGATGCCCCGCCTCATTCCAGCACGGCCGTCTGCCAGGTTCTGCCATTCCCGGGACCCCCTGATACACCCTCTGCTGTCATCCCCCCTTTCCTGGTGGGCCTGCTTCCCCATCACAATTGCACAGCACGTGGGAAGGGTAAAGACTCGGACGGCAGAGTACGATGGCCATTCCTGGCCATTTTTTCACCAATCTGGGACCTTAGGAGGATTACGTTGCCCCCATTCCTCTATGGGTAAGATGGTGGGGGTGTAAACACCTGCGCAGAAGGAAGGTGGTGGGCATGAAGTTCCCGATGGAACAGGACTGGCACCACACCTGCCGCATAGCAAAGGCACGCTCTGCATTATCTTCAGTTTCGTTGAAATCAACTTCCTGTCTCTTCTATCATCTTCCTTAGCTTCCACTCGGAGGACCCTCATGAGTGTCCTACCCACAGGAATTCAAACTCCACAACACCGTCATTCTCTGTCCTTAACTTCATTGTCCTTCAGTAATGCTCTGGGTAACAGCATTACTCTGAAAGCTGTCTCAAATAGGGGTGGTTTGTTCTTTTTTTTAAGATTTTTTTTTTAATTTATTTATTTGACAGAGAGGGAGACAGAACACAGAGGGAGGGTGAGAGGGAGAAGCAGACTCCCCGCTGAGCAGGGAGCCCGACATGGGGCTTGATCCCAGGACCCCGGGATCATGACCTGAGCCAAAGGCAGATGCTCAACCGACTTGAGCCACCCAGGCGCCCAGATTGGGGTGGTTTTTAATGTACGTCCTTTATACCTGAGTTCCAGGTAAGAGGACTGGCAGTTTGTTCACTCCCTAGGCACAGAGAGTCTGCATCCCAGCCAAGGTCGTCCGGTGTCTATTTCCCAGAACCATGACCACTTCTTACGAACTCTCTGGATATTTCCCCACAAATATAGGAGAAGTGGTACCTGGTTTAAATCTTCCCTTCCCGTCACTGACCATGTTCTTAGTAACTTCTACCAACTATATCTTGCATGTAGCTGACACTCAGTGCATTTGTATTTGATGAATAGAAGTCCTCTGAGTGGCCTTAAGAGAAGGGACGGGTTCGCTGAGTACCACCTCTGCACCCAGAGCCTCCACGCGCCCGGGCCTCTCACCGTGTAGATTTCTCAGGGGAAGCTCCTGCAATCCGGTCTTATTTGTGCCGTAATTGGATAAGACGGATAAGGCATGGGTGTTTTCATAGAGCACATTTCCTCGGATGATCTGCAGGTTTTCCAAAGGGATCCTCTGTACCGTGTTGAGGGCAATGAGTACGTAGCCAGCAACTTCCTGGATGGTCTAAGGAGATAAAATGTGACCATGTTACTTCTCTTGTGAGGAACTCAAGAATGCCAGGTGGAAAATGGGTCAAGGCAGCACGCACACAAGTGACTGACGACCGTAAGGCATGTAGATGACTTCAGTGGGGACAGAGCAGGGGCGGGGGTTACAGGATTTCCGATGACTCCTGCACTTTTGCCCCTTGAGCGTGCTGGCAATAACAAAGGGCAACGTGCACTATTTAGGAATGCTGTGATTCTCATTTCACGTGGTGTTTGGGATACTCAGAAGAAAATGAAAACATTTTATTAATTTCTTTTGTATCTGTCTTGCATGCTCTCTTATTAGAAAAAGAAAAACCCAGAAGGCCAATCAAATCCAAAGTTCAACTAGGACCAAACTCTGAAGCCTTCAGAGCTGGCTCCTATTGGCTCACTAGAGCCTACTGTGAAATATTTGGGAAACGTGTGAAGTGGTGTAGCTGGAAATCAACTATAATGGGAGTATGCAGGAAAATGCTACAAAGCAGGCTTTTTTTTTTTTTCCTTAAAGAGCCAATATACCAGGATACCACAGCTAACGCAATGGTTAGACATTTAATATCAGGGTCTATGATGATAGTGGAATTCCAGGCTGGCCTGTTTCTCTTTGACATTATTTCATAGCTGTAACTTGACACTAGCTGGAGAAGTGGTTTTCTGATAAAACTTGCATCTGTAGCTCCCCAGGACTTGTAATTGGCATAGTAAAAGAAATACACTAAGGTCTTTATCTACTTATATTTCCTTCTATCATATTTGGGTAAGACAATCAAACTGACGGAACTAACCTTTAAGAAGGAAAGGTCATAATTCCTTTGCATGTAGGTAATTTCCAAATTCCCAAGGACCACCTCACAGTTATTGAACATCCTCTGAAGGCTGAGAAAGTGGTCTTCAAAAGTGCCCAACTGGGTGAGTCGGTTACTTGTGCCTTGGCAAACTGCAAAAAAGGGAAAAAAAAGAAAGATATCACATGAAATGCCAAGTAAAGTAGTGAAACTAAAATAAAAGGTTCACACATTTCAACTAACCTTGCGAGTTTCAGTGACTTACAATATTAATTCTGATAAAAGGTCACTCAAGACCAATGGGGCAAGAAAATGTTTGTCTATGTATATAAGGTATAGTTCATAATAAGAGACAGCTCATTCCTATAATGCAGAGAGTCATTTTAAAATGTTAAAAATTCCAGGGGAAAGAGGGGAAAATTCTACGAAAATCTTTAAGACAACATAGTCTTTTTTTTTTTTTTTAAGGTTTATTTATTTATTTGAGAGAGCGTGAGTGCGAGCACATGGAGTGGAGGGGCAGAGGGAGAGTCTCAAGCAGAGCCCAACACGGGGCTCAATCCCAAGACCCCGAGATCGCAACCTGAGCCAAAACCAAGTGTCAGACACTTAACCGACTGCACCATCCAAACACCCCAAGACAAAATAGTCTTTCAGAGCTTTGGTAGACCATAAAAATGTGTACCATAAGGTATTTAAATAATATAATTACAATGTTGAATAACTACATAATGAACTTTTTACTTTACAAAAAAGATAGAATATCACATTACTGCGTGTCCAAAGGATATTTACAAACATAACATACACTAGCCCGTATTTTCTGACCACAACGTTGTACAACTTAAAATCAATGGCAAGAGTGTCAATTAAAATCCAACTGGCCAGAGATTAAAAATATTCTTCTAAGTTAATGCATCAAAGAATAAATCAAAGGACTAATTACAGATCTAGAAAATAATGAAATGGAAACATACATTTAAAAACACACTCAGCTACTAAGAGACCGACATGTCCTTCTGTTTGTCCACGAAAGCCACCCAGCACAGGTGGAGGTGTGATTGCTTTGCATTCTTTGGCAGGACACAGCCCTGGCACACTTAACTCCCAAATGTTTTAACTTAATACAAGAAATAGTTTAAATTAGGGGATGAAGTTAGCCTATGGAAATCACTTGACACTCTATATTTAAAAGCAAAGGAGATCATAATAAAGTCATATTTACAAACCCAGCTCTTTGAAAGACATGTTTAAGCAAGCATACCAAAACAAAGAAGTTGGGGCTTTTGAAGCAGGGAGCTTGTTAAGGGACTACACTTTGAACCAAAATTACCGTAAGAGTGAAGAAATATGGCCTCTGGCTTTGGAGGTTAGATCCAGAACGAGCCAGGTTCTGCCACATGTGCAAAGGCATGATTGTAATCAGTGGCCAGGTGGTTGAACACCAAAACAAGGCCAAAGTCAATATGCAGGTACTTTCCTCAGAAACTCTTTCTAAATTTACATCTATATTTTATAGTCTTCTTTGTTCCCTCCGCATGGGAACTGCTCTGAAGAGCATCGTCTGACCGTCTGCCCTTGCATCTTAAGGGCCACGGCAGCGAGCGCAAGTTCAGACACCACCTAATCAACCCGAAGCATTTACGCCAACGGTAAATGTGAAGCAATCGCCACATCCTCTCTAACTCTACGGGGATTTCCCTCTTCTCTTCTGTGGTCACATTCAAATCTGGTGGTAGAGAGAACTCTCACATGGGAACTGCAACAGTCCGACAATAGTGAGCCCCCATCTGCTCCAGGGGCAGAATGATTCCATAATTCTTCCAACTATAACACTGGACTGACCCAACATCTCCGGGCGGCTCTCACTCAGAGGTATGGGCTACTTCGATTGCAACCTCAATTTGGAACATCTGTACACAGTTGGTGGCAAAACGTGCAGATGGGGCCAGACTGATTTCCCAATTTCAAGGCCTTCAAAGATGCCACCACCGATGTAGGTACAGGGTTGTGACAATAACCCATGACCTTTTGGCTGGCACACGTTGAAACAAAAGTTTTCCTAGCTGGCAGACTATGGTCTCTAAGTTTCAGTCTAACTGATTGGCTGTCATCTAGGTTGCAGAGGACTGATCACGCCCTTCATCCCAGCCAGGTGAAGTGTCCTAGAACTTAGGGCTGGAGCACCTCTCAGAAGAGTTTCTTCAGTATGCAGAGAAATTAAAACTGTTAACAGTTGCTTTCATCTTAAAAGAATTTTTTTTTGAAAGATTTTACTTATTTACTTGAGAGAGAGAAAGAGAACAGGGGGTGGGGGAGAGAAGAGGGAGAAGCAGACTCCCCACTGAACAGAGAGCCCGATGAAGAGCTCGATCCCTGAGATAGTGACCTGAGCCAAAGGCAGCCGCTTAACCGACTGAGCCACTCAGGTGCCCCCAGTTGCTTTCATTTTAAATGATAAAGGATATCAGCTTGTAAATTTCCCTCAGCTGAACCAAAGAATTTTTATTACTAAATCAATGACAAAGAAACTTTTGTCAGTAAAAAAGGAAAACATGCCATTTAGGGGCACCTGGGTGCCTCAGTCTTTGGGTGTCTGCCTTTGGCTCGGGTCACGATCCCAGGGTCCTGGGATCCAGCCCCATGTCGGGGTCCCTGCTCCGCGGGAAGCCTGCTTCTCCCTCTCCCACTCCCCCTGCTTGTGTTCCCTCTCTCGCTGTCTCTCTCTCTCTCTCTCTCAAATAAATAAGAAATCTTAAAAAAAAAAAAAAAAAAAAGGAAAACATGCCCTTTAAGTTTAGCCTGTTACATTATAGAAAAAAATAATTTCAAAAAGACTGTAGTTGTGCTTTCATTCATTCATTCAAAAAATGCTAAATGAGCTCCTAAAATATTTATTTGATGAATACCTATCATGACCCTTCATTGTTTACAATTAGTATGGACTACTTTTATAGTCAGAAAAAGAGATGCTACATTTGGAAGATAATAATAGCAACATGACACATTATCGATGTGAACATTAATTCAAAAAACGTTTTGGGAAGCAACCGCACGACTTGTGTAAACAAATAAATGTGTTTTTAAAGATTTTTTTTATCTATTTTATTTGAGAGAGAGAAAGAGAATGAGAGAGAGAGAAAGCACATGAGATGGGGGAGGGTCAGAGGGAGAAGCAGGCTCCCTGCCGAGCAGGGAGCCTGATGCGGGACTCGATCCAGGGACTCCAGGATCATGACCTGAGCCGAAGGCAGTCGCCCAACCAACTGAGCCACCCAGGCGCCCAAATAAATGTGTTTTTAAAAGGCTTCATGCAAAATGTCGTTCATCTTTTTTTAATATGACAAACAACTGCAAAAAGCCCTAAATCCTCAGGATGCCTGGGTGGCTCAGTCGGTAAAGCGTCTGCCTTAGGCTCACGTCATGATCCCAGGTTCCTGGGCTGGAACCCCACATCAGGCTCCCTGCTCGGCAGGGAGTCTGCTTCTCTCTCTCCCTCTGCCTCTCCCCTTGCTTGTGCTCTCTCTCTCTCTCTCTGTCAAATAAAATAAAATAAAATAAGCCCTAAATGCTCAACTGTCCAACACGTGGATTCTTGAGAACAAGAAAGCAGTTGATATTCTGTGTGATTCGGTTTAAGGCAAATCCATCTTGAATTCTATTCCAGGGTTAATTACTAATGTCTCAAAAGAAATGAATACAAAGCTGTTTCTTCTGAGGCTTTCTCCCGCCGTCTGCCACAAAGGAGATGACCACGTCTTAACTGAAATCCAGAGTGAGGATCGGAATGATTTGACCTAGGCTTCTTGATTCAACAAAGTATCATCTCCATTCCATACTTATACCACGTCTCACATTATGAATATAAAGCAATGAGAAGATTTAAATGTGAGACCACTGAATTAGTAAAATTATTATTTTTAAGAAAATCACAAACTAGTTAGGCAGGTTGAAGACAAAACTGCAAAGGGCAAGAGCTTTTTAATTCATCCACCCTTCCTCAGTATGGGACCCCGAATGACTTCTCTCCAAGCTTTCTACCGCATGCTTTCCTCAAGTAGTAGACGGGGTGAAAATAATATTGACCTTCCAGAATTGTTTTAAAGACTGAATAAACACAAAAGCTCTCAACCTTCTTTTGTTAAAATTAGCTAGTGAGAAATGTGACAGTAATACAAAATACACCTGCACAGATATTAGAGGACCTCTGTGGATATATGCTTGCCCTGTGGTATTATCTGAACTGGGAGTGTTTGGATCTGCAAACAGCTTTCCTCAAATATTGGGCATTAAGCAGAGTTATTCTGTAGACTGTTTATCAGAAAAGGAAAGAAAGAAAAAGGAACACATTGAATTGAATGATTTCATTAAAATACGCATTGAGGATTAGGTGTTTAAGCCATTTACACATAGAGAGAAATGTAATATCACTTTAGGGCTATCCATTTGAAGACAAGCCAATTAAAAGTGTATCAAGCTCCATACAAAATGCTAGTCATTTGCTCTACCTGTTACAAATCTGAAGACAAATTCTACTGAAACAAGAGTAGCAGTCCCCAGGACACAGGCCCTCCGAAGCACTTAGCCTTTTCGTCCTCAGATTTTGTTATGAAGATTCATAAATGCGTAGAGAAGCTGAAAGAACTATACCATGAATATCCTTAGATTAGCTTTGTGCTCCTTTTATCCTGTCTCTATCCATCTTATTTTTTTGATGCATTTTATTTTATTTTAAGATTTTATTTATTTATGTGACAGAGAGAGAGACAGCGAGAGAGGGAACACAAGCAGGGGGAGCGGGAGAGGGAGAAGCAGGCTCCCCGCCGAGCAGGGAGCCCGATGCGGGGCTCGATCCCAGGACGCTGGGATCGTGACCTGAGCCCAAGGCAGACGCTTAACTGACTGAGCCACCCAGGCGCCCCTTTCTGACGCATTTTAAAGCTAAGGTATAAATGCCAGTACATTTCAGCCTGGCATACCGTTGATCGCAGCTCGAGGTTAATTTACAGCTGTTGCTGATGTAGCATCTACAAACTGTGAGGTAATCAATCTTAAGTGTAGCGTTTGGGAGTTCCAACAAATTCACACACCTGCGTCACCTCCGCTCCTCTCCCCATCTACGTACATCATCCCTAGGGG